CGCTCTTCACCACCCTTCCCCGCTACTTCCGGCCCTCACCGAACGCCCTCAACGCGCTTGCGCCGTTTTGATAGGCTTTTCGAGTACAAGAAATCTGAGCGCTGCTTCCCAGGAACCGCCCCCGCCTCCTCTTCGCCCCGCCCACGCCTTACTGGCCTCTCCTGAAATCTCGCGAGGGTTGGTGAGCGTCCGTATTTTGCGGGCAACTAGCTTTCCCAGCTGCTGTAATTGCAGCTGCGGGAGAAATTGGAGCTGCTGTAGTCGGCGTGCCCCCCCTCCCCGACTGAGGAGAGCCACCGTCTCTTCTCTCGCTCTCCTCGTACACCTATCGCCGGGAGCGGCGGCAGCAACAGTCCCTGAACCCACCGGCGCCTCTTCAGGCGGCCGCACTGCTGGTCATTCCCTCAGTCCGGCAGCTGCCGGCGGCCCCCTGCCACTGTCCGGCTCCTCACTTCAGATCGTCTGCTCCCTCCTCATCCTCCCCCGGGACCCAACTCCCCACGGCCTCCCCACGGGTGGAGGACGACGAGGAGGAGACGAGAGTCACCCTCCCTCCAGGCGGCGCCGGCTCCCTCACCCGCGGGTGTGTCTTATAAATGGCGTCGGAAAGCGACACCGAGGAATTCTTTGACGCCCCTGAAGATGTGCACCTAGGGGGCGGCTACCCTGTAGGGTAAGTAACCGGAGCCATGGCCCACAAGCCGGGCGTCCCCGTCCCCTGGCTTCCCCCGTGCCTTCCCCCCCTACACCCCTCCCAGGGCCCGCTGTGTCCGCCACCGCTGCTCCTCTCCGCCTCCCTCGGGCACTTAAGAGAGAGTCGGGGGAGGGCGATTGGCCACTTCGGGCAAACCCTCCTCTTTTCCCAGGTGAACGGCCCCAGGGGTTCCTTTCTTGTCTTGTCCAGCTTTCTAAGAGGTGGGACAGTTTACGAACCTGAGAGCCGGAGATTTGTATTTGTGGGGTTCAGAGCTTACTTTGGAAACATCCGCTTTAGCCTTGGGGGCCATAGTTTAAAGGAGCAGCAACAGGAGAAATTACAGTGCCCAGTTTTTTTTTCTTTTGCCGCTAACTTAGCTATTCGTTTCAGAGGTGACTGTACCTCTCCCTATTTTGCCTTCTTCGTTGCACAGAAAGAAAAGGAGCGGAGCGCGGGGTGGGGGGGAAGATTGGGTGTTTACTTAGGCAAGTCCTCTAGGTGATGTACTCTAGATCCACGGTGTTTTAGTAAAATAGCACCTTGCCGTGAGGCAAAGGAAATCGAAGACAAGGTCCTTTGCCATTAGGGAGAATGCGGTCTTAAAAGGGTAGCCGGACATAAATGTGCACAACCGACTACAGAGATACAAACAAGTGCTGAGTAATCTGTGGTTAGGAGAGCCACAGCTTTGTGCTCTTTATCTAATTCTGCAAGATGTTTTAGTGGTGATTAATACGGGAGATTCTGAGTAGGAAGTAGAGTAGTTGGAATGCTTCGCTTGCCTGGGACTTCTACTTAACGCACTCCTCCACTTTTCAAAGTTGGAATATGTTTAAAGCGATTTCACCGAACTCTTCTACTGGGCTTGTGTGGAACTAGAGGCAGTGAAATATATTTTCATGCTATAAGAACTTGAAAATCGGTAAAATTTGTATGTTAATGGAAGTCACTGATATGGTTCCAGGAGTCAGCTGCCTTCAATTTGCAAGCTTACCCGTGGAAGAAATATCTTAATGCAAATAATGTTATCTGTACATTCTAGAAGTGGTTCTAAAACCTAATATGTATTATATATAATATATACCTCAAAAGTTACAGCAACAAAATCAGAGAGAACTTTCTACGTTGGTAGATCGCTGATGAGTGTGTTTCCACCAACCTTCAAATCACTGTTATGGGATTTGGGGGCTGCAATGGCCAATCTTAAGATAGCATTGAATCTCCTTCAAGTTCAATATATGAAACAAGTTCATAGCTAGATGTTAGAGGATAGAAAATTCACTTGGATTACCAAGTACATTGGAGCCCCCTGAAATTAAATTTTGTCTTTGTGGTATTCCCTTTAAAGTAATGAACTGTCAATTCAGGTTAAATAAGAGACCTAATCCTTTAGTTGTTTGTGTGTGTGTGTGTGTGTGTGGAGGGGGAAGGGAAATAACCGTCGACATATATGATTTAATCAATTTAGAGCTATGTGAATATTGTTCCTTTTCAATGAATATAACAGATTTAAGTTTGAAGGACAGCTACATCAGGACCTGTGTAAACTGCCTAGTAGTCCAGTACCTGGCACAGAGAAAGAACTGCAATGTTCATTCCCTTCCCTTCCTTTTTTGGGATTAGCAAATTTAACTTCACACAGTGCTTACTTTGGGAGGAAGTATGCAGAACTTGGAGTTATTTAACATATCCAAACCGAGTGAGTCATTTTGATAGAATTGATAGAGTCACTTATTCCCTCGTGGGATAATATAGTTTCTCAAGCACTTTGATCCTTTGATATGCTAGGTGAAAAGTAAAAACATCTCTTGGGACCCAGCCTTCTGATTTTAACTCTAACCTGCCTATATATTGAGAGTGTTGAGCTCTGTGGATAAAACTACTGTTAGTCTGTGAATTTTTCAGCTCCATCCTGCGTTAGTGAGGGGATTTGGAAGAGAATTAGACTCATCTGGAGAATTGCATCTGAAAAGAACTAGCAGTACTGGGAGGACTGCACAAGGTTGGCATCGTTAGCATTTCCTCTGTCCTTTGTGACAGTTTTTGTCATTTTGCATAAGGTACTGTGAGGAGACTTGGCTGGGTAACTAACAACCCAGAAATGCAGTGAGAAATCTTGATTTGTGGAAACACATGGTATCACTAGATATCTGGTCATTAGAAGTAGCCTCTCTCCCTTGAGATACACTTGGAGTAGCATACCATACAAACTCTAAGAGGTTAACAGACTGAGTTTGGGCACTTTAAGAAATGTTCCTTGCATTGCGCGTTCTAGAGTACACAGACCATTTCACCAAATTGTAGTAAACTGAGTAGACTGTTGAGAGTTATCTCGTGTTTTGTTAATCAGCAGAATCCAGATAAACAATCCGTTTCCTAAAATTGATTTATTTCTTCTTTTCTCCCTCCAGTGGTGTCTTCAGCTTTGTTATTCTACTCTTTGAAAGCAAATTTAATGTTAAAAATAAGCCCAGTTGTTTATAGAAAGGCTTGATTCAAATGCACCCTACTATAACACAGTGGCAGATCATCTCCACTTGTACAGCTTTGCAGTGTACATCAGTTATAATGCTTTATTTTGATTGGTATTTTAAGTCAGGTTTCCTTATTCTTATCTCCGTTTTAATGAGAAACCTTAGGCTCAGAGAGGTTAATGAATTGGCCTAGGAGACACAGCTTATAAGTGAAAGCTGGGATTTGAAACCAGTTCTTCGGACTCCTACTCCAGTATTTTTTCTAGTACATCATAGCTGCCCCATACTGGGTGTGTGCTGTGTGTGTGTGTGTGTGTGTGTGTGTGTGTGTGTGTGTGTGTGTGTGTTTTATACAGGGTAACCTCCTCCAAGAGATGCTGGAGTAAAATGCTTTAGGACCAACTTGCTAAATTGAACTGATGCATATATTTAGAACTAGCAGCACAAACTTTTCAGTTCTCTTGGCTAGAAATTCCCACTTTCTCTTTCAAGAATGTGTATCTTGTTTTGTCAGATAGGAATGTTATAAGATCATAGCATGTTACAGCTGGAAGGGACATCTAGTTAAACTCCTTCATGTAAAATGTTGTGAAAGCCAAAGCCTGGAAAAAGTAAACTGACTTGTCCAAGGTATCACAGCAAACTAATGGCAAAGTTAGGACTAGAATCCAGATCAGTTTCACAGTCTAGAGTTCTTTTCTGCTATCGTGCTGTCTTTTGATAAAGCAGGAAAGGGAGGAGGAAGTTTGGTATAAGTAGAAAAAAGCCCTGGACTATGAGTCATTTCATTTCCTCATCTTTAATTCGAGGAGAGTTTAACAGACTGGATGGTATTGGGTACATGATTCGAGATCCGTAGATTTGAAATTAAATATTTACTGGATAAATTATATATGAAATGAATGTTCCTGCTAATTTGTGTGGATTATACATACACCTACTAAAGGCTAGCACTGAAACATAAAATTAAATGTGACATTTTGAGCATTCTTTATTTTTGTGTTGGCAACCAGAATATTTGTATTTTGGCTATACTTGTAATCAGCTATACATATACATATATCCCCATATCTCTTCCCTCTTGCGTCTCCCTCCCTCCCACCCTCCCTATCCCACCCCTCTAGGTGCTCACAAAGCACTGAGCTGATCTCCCTGGAGTCACAGTATATTATTTTAGATTGGAGTAATGACAAAATCTTGATTTTTAAGTTGTGAGAACTGAGATCAAACTGCCCCAAAGAATTGTTTGGTCTGAAAAGTAAAAAGTTGCATAGCTGCCTTTGTTGAAAACTCAGCTTCTCACTTAGGCATCAGAAACATTTCTCTCTGAATTGAAAATTGATACAAGTTTCAATTAAAAAGGCCTTGGAAGGAAGGCTAGAATGGTAACATTTTTAGAGTAGGAAGGGACAGGAGATCATTTAGCCCAGCCCTTCCATTTAACTGAAAGAGAAACCTAGGCTCAGACAGGGGAAGTGACGCATCGCTGATTAGGGGCAAGTTCAGAACTAGAACCCAGGTCTCCTGATTCTTCATTTATACCGTGATGCCTTGTCTGCAGAAGGAGGGAAAGTGTTACCAGGTATCCCTGCTGTAGGTTTCTGGCACTTACCCTGTTAGTGGGACTCCTAAGATGGTCAACTGCTATCTACCATGATTCTGTTTCTTTCATGCCTTTCTGTCAGAGGACGTGGACTGTTCTAGGATCCTAACTTTTGTCCACTAATTTTCTCCAAGTCAGGATGAAAAACGGTGACAGAATAGCTAATCTAAGAACAGGGATGGTTATTTGTTTTGTTTTGTTAGTGTCAGTCACAGTATATTATTTTATTTATTTATTTATTTTAACATCTTTATTGGAGTATAATTGCTTTACAATGGTGTGTTAGTTTCTGCTTTTAACAAAGTGAATCAGTTATACATATACATATATCCCCATATCTCTTCCCTCTTGTGTCTCCCTCCCTCCCACCTTCCCTATCCCACCCCTCTAGGTGGTCACAAAGCACGGAGCTGATCTCCCTGGAGTCACAGTATATTATTTTAGATTGGAGTAATGACAAAATCTTGACTTTTAAGTTATGAGAACTGAGATCAAACTGCCCCAAAGAATTGTTTGGTCTGAAAAATAAAAACTTGCATAGCTGCCTTTGCTGAAAACTCAGCTTCTCACTTAGGCATCAGAAACATTTCTCTCTGAATTGAAAAGTGATACGTTTCAATTAAAAAGGTATTTGTGTGCTATGGGTTACTTAAGGAAAGAGTCCTTAAAAATGGCTGTTCATGGTTTGGCACTTAAGCATAAATTGTATTTAATCATGGATTATATTTGATTGCTCTTGGCTTTGTGGATGATAGAAATATATTTACATATGCTGTTTTATCACACCCATGTAGCATCATATAGAAGTGTGGGGGGGAACCTTCTGCATATTAATTAGTAAATTCAAGCTCTAAATTTAGTGGCCTCAAACTGTCAGTTTGGTGACCCATCGAGGTGGG